CCAGCTGAAAACCCAGAAGTCCTCCACGACATAGCCTAGGTCACTGGCTCCCATATGTGATCCCTAAACCCCCAGAAGCAGGCATTTCGATGGTACCAAAGGAAGGGAGAGGGGGTCATAAGCTTTTTTAATGTTTTAAAAGCCTTATCAGAAATCATATTTCGCCTTTATGTCTATGTCTAATTTTATATTCATATTGACTTAGAATTAAGTCAGTGAGAAAATGCTTATTTTTTATGATAATCAAAAATATTAATTGGCAGTTGTAGATTCCATTGATTATAACCATGACAAAAGGACTTTATTAATACTACTATATTAATTTATTAATACTATTGTATTAATATTATACCACTATTAATATTAATAGTATGCTTGATAGGCATAATCTTTTAAAACTTGTAACTATGAGAAAGGAAATAGATCCAGGACAAAATGTTGCTGACCACTGGGTCACGTTGGACATCTGTGTATTTTTGAAAGCCTTTGGCGATTTTTTTATGTTTCTTGTAATAGAGTTTGAGTATGCCTAATCTGGCATTCAAGGCCCTCCACAACCTTACCTCACTACTCTTCAACTCCCTACCCAAGTCCACTAATTCACTGGTCTATCCATTGCCCTGAAAATACATGTCATGTATGTATTCTTGCCTCTGAGTATCCTTAGTTCTGGAACCATTCTCTTAGTCTAGAACACTTTTATGTCTTCTCTATTTATCTAACACTATTTATTTTTGCAGTCGCTCAGCTCATTTAAGCAGATTTTTCTGAAAAATGCTGTGATTCACATAAAGTAGTGAAATGGTTTTATCTATCTCAATGGTCTCCCATTTCAGCTGAAGTCAAAGTCAAGTCATTAAAATGTTATCTTCTGACCTCAATTCCTCCTACTAGTCACCCCTTGGTCCTTCTGCTTCAGAGCCACACTGAGCTCTGTATTATTTCTTAAACTGTCCTAGCACACTCCTACCCCCGGGCCTTTGTACTTGCTAATCTCTTTACTTCAAATGCTCTACCCTGGGAGAACAGCTGTAGAGCTTAATCCTTTCCTTTATGCTTTTTTTTCCCCCAAATGTTCTCATATTTAAGAAAAATTACCCCATACGAATAGTGCCTTTCACTCTGCACTAATTACCCTTGCCCTGCTTTATTTGGTGTCATCTGATGTATTATATACTTATTTATTAGCTATTTCTTCGCAATTGGAATAAGGTTGATGAAGCATCTTTGGTAGCTAGAACAGTGCCAGTTAAATAGTAGGTGCTTAATAAATATCTGTTAATTGAGTGATTTTTCTCAGACCAAGAATTCTGTGGATGGTAGAGTTTATTTAGGGCCCTTCAGAATATATCCTTTGGAAATGTATTGACTATAATTTTGTTTTAGGATCTGAAGATGAAATAAAAAGTCAAAACAAGTTACATATTGCTACTTTAATGTTTGGCTCTGAAAATTATCATTTATTTATTCATTTAAAAATATTTGTAGTACTATTCCTTAGGGACTAATAACAAAAGACACAATTCCTACCTTCATTGAGTTTATAATCTAATGGAGGGGAATACAGGACCTAATAAGCATATGCTTACTAATTGTGCTTAGTGCTACAAAAAAAATAATGAAGTTGAATACCAGAAGAGAGACCGACAGGTGAAAATTGGGCCTGAGAAGCTCTCTCCCCACCATGAGGATTGACAAGCAAATGCAGAGCCAATGGAAGCCAAGTAAGAAAGTGTGAGTGAGATTTAGGAGATCCTGGTACTTAACAGTAAGTCCTAAACTTCACCTGGGTTGGTTCTGATCATGTACAGATTGAAATCATAGCATGGAAGTTTCTTTGTATCTTGTGGAGTTTCTCTGTCAATGTTATTCTTAGAAAACATGTAAAAAAATAGTAAAGTTGAAACCGAATAATTATCTGGTACCAATTTGAAAAAGTTAGGCCTAAAATGCCTCCATGGTTGACTAACATTTTTCTGGTCTAATTATCTGTATCTGTGATGTCCAGCTTAGTAGCTACTAGCCACATATGGCTCTTTCATGTTACTTTTCACTTTTTAAAAAGTGACTGCTAGAACAATTTAAAGCACATATGTGGCTTACATTATGTTTCTGTTGGACAGCACTCTTCTACATAGCTGCAGAGACTGTCTTTTTTCCTGTTGGCAGGGCTAGGAAAATCACCGATTCACTAGTGTATGAGCTAAATAGTTATTCCAATTGTTATACTAACACTAAACCCTTACAGATAAAAATTGTAGATATCCATAATTTTGCTTGTCCAAGTCCATTCTCCTCCTTTGGATAACAACACCTCAATTTTCTTTTAGGGCTCTACTCCTCCACATATCTCCGCAGGGACTTACCTCACTGCCTCTGCAAGTCATGTGATGCAGGCTGGCTAATCAAAGTACTGCATCCCCTTGGCCACAAGGATGGGCTCAAGATTGGGTGTGTGACCCGGGACAGGACACTGAGGCTCAATCTCAAGACTTTTGTTAGAACTCTTGGAAAAGAAAAACCTTCTTCCTGTTGGAGTGGCTAATTTGTGAGGAAAATCAATTGGGAGCCACGACTGGAAACTAAACATTCTGGGGCTTGAAACCCATTAGATGCAGGAAGAGATGGATGCTAATATAAAAAGGTTTTATCTGACCATATTGCTTGATCTGGATCCAGCTGTTTTGGAAGCTGTAACCATTCCTAGATGTTTTAGTCACACACCCACTTGTGCTTTAGCTAGTCGAATTGAGTTTTGGTTATATGCATGTCCTCACGAAGGTAATCACTGAGATATATGCACTGGCTGGAGGCTCTTTGAGGAGAATTAATAATTCTTCTAATGAGCACTAATTAAGTTGGCACAACCCAATAGAATAAAATCAATTAATGATTTTTTAAGTTGGTACTTTCCGTTAATTAGTTATGTTTTCTTCTAATTAAAACCCTACTACCAGGACATAATCTATATAATGACTTTTGCCTTGAAAATTGTAACAAGTAATACCAGATGTGTGAAGGAATACTGATTCTAAAGGCTTTCAAAGAATATTGTTCCTGGTGTCAAAATGCTGGATAATTATATTTGTAAAATGTCTTTTAGCCATGCGACCAATTTCTAGCTCAATTCAATTGTATAAATGTGTAATTGTTGATACTTTATCATTGTCAGAGTATAGGAATTTTATCAGAATCAATAATTAGCTAACTCAGGGAGTTTTGTGAGACTACCTAGTTAATTTTGATAATCTCTGTGTTGTTCTTTTCCCTTTAATAATATCCTTCAAATTAATTACATTACCCAGAAACACCAGCAACATTCTGAGCTATGATGTTGAATTTTCATCTCAAAGTTTTAATCTCAGCTCAGTCACTGACTTTCTATTCTAACCAAGTCACAGCATCTCTATATGACAGCCTAGGACCTGCCATTGCCTCTTACCTGTAAGAGAACTTGAACTGCCTTGAGTGCAACATACCTCACTGTTGTATTCAGTTACTTATAACTGTTGGCAAAAAAGTCTTGATGGGCTAACTGTAAGTTATTTTGCTTTACAACTGAGAAAAAAGCTATAAATAACAAAAAAAAACCCCTGCCAAATATTTTTTAAAGCAACTTCCTATACATAGACTTGGGTTAGTAGCTCAATTTCCTCCTTTTAAAATCCACATCTGTGATAACCGTAGTTGATCAAATATAATAAACATATACATTAAGAAATACTTGTCAGATGCTTGAAGAATCTCACCCTTTGGTGAAAATTGAAATTGTATTTCATATATTTTTCTGACATAAGAAGATTTTTCAACTATAAGGACCAAAACAAAAAGTATATTCTAGTTCAAGAAATTTAATCTGAGGACTTCTAATCTTTGAGTCTTTCTTGTTTGTGTGTGCATATGTGCACACACACGTTATACACACACATACATGAAGAGACACATGTTTGGCTTTGTCCCATTTTGACTGTTAGAGACATCAGTTTTTAGGAGAAAGACTATTTTTGTTTTCTTTGTAACTATTCTATATAAAGGTGTTGAATGTATTGGCTTTTTATAGACAACATATTAATAAAAGAAAAGATTATTATAAAAATGCAGTTTCCATTCATATAAAACTGTGCATGGAGCATATTCTTAGTGACTACATGCTCCCTAAAATGCATTACGATTTTCAGTGGAAAATACAATATAGGAAAGAATTACCTAAAAATAATTCCATTTGGGTGGATCAAGAGCATCTTGGTGGGATGAACTTAAACAGTCACATGGTCAGTACAGATGTATTCAGACATCTATCTTTATGTGTAGAGTCCTTGGGATTTCTGATTGCACTTCTATTTTTTAATACCCTTGGCTGCCTAGTCATCTAATTGTGAAAAATTACAGATTTTGGAAAAGAAAAGGGCTCTAATACAAACAAGGGCCAATGGAAAAGAGAGAAAAATGCCATCAAGGCTTAGATAAGGCCTTGAGGAGGATAGAGCAGTCTCAGGGCACTTTTCGTGGGCAGAGCAACATCTGGGCAGAGATATTTCAGAGGGAGGATCTGATGGTCTATAGTTTCAAGGAAAATCATGCACTACACTGGGGATGGAACATAGACCCTGAGAGGGAGGAATCATCACTTCTGCATCCCTCACTTCCAAACCTTGGAGTTAAGTTACCAAAAGCTATGCTTTCTTGGATATGCACCATGGACTAAGGTAGGGCAATTTTTTATGATAAGGGATCCAAGGGAGGGAGAAGGGCACTAAGGTATTGAAGCTCTTTTAATGTCTAAGATCTTTGGTTCTAAGTAGTTTAAAAGCAATATTTACTTGAAATATAGCCTGGCTCTATGTCTCTGGAAGATTTACATGTGTTGGGATGTTGCAAATTCACATATAGTTGACCCCTGGAACTTCTGCTAGGATGTGTGGGTGGTGAGGGGAGGAGGAAGAGAGGGGGAAGAGAGGGAAAAAAGAGGGAAGAATTTAAAAACCTATGGGAAAAGTTACCTTTCTTCTTTCCTCTGCAGCCTCCAGCTTTTTCTGGATCTCCTCCAGAGACAGATCTTTCTTCTTCGGGGAAGCTAAAGTTCGTGGGGCTTCTGAGATAGGAGATGGTGGTTTCAGGATCAGCTCAAAAGCCTGGCCAGAGGCACGTTTGTTGATTTGCTTCACTTCCATATCTGAAAATGAATATTTGAGAATGCTAAGCATACAGAGAGGTGAAGCATGGGTTTATTTAAACAATTTGAATTCTGGCAATTGAAGGTAGCATTGTTATTCTGGCAAATAGGGATAAATGCTGCATGTGATTATCTGCTCTACATTGATTTGAACATACAAGACCTCTTTCTTTCGTATAATTACAGATATATTCTAGAAGAATAAATACTTACAGTGTTGGGAAATTCAACATGTCCATAGGGAATTGAATAATGGTAGGCCTACTTAGGAAGAAATAGCCTGGATTGATTTTAAACTAAACTTTATTTATCTTTTGAATAAACATGAGCTTCATATGAAAATAAAGTGGCACAGATTTAGATTTATCTTTTTTTAAATTACCATGGCTGGAGGCACTTTTAGGCTAAATGACGGAGAAAAAAAAAATAACAAAGATTTATTGGAAATTTGGAATTCTCTATCAATTCTAGAAAGCAATGCATGAGCAATGTTGAATGATCTATTTAGCATCTAAGACTCAGCTTATACATAACTTCTGACTTTCTTTTTCCCATCTTCAATCCCTAAAGCTGCAGAACCTGTCACCGTCTTCCCTGTCTTACTAGTACATTTTGTATAATCTGCAGTTTTTAGCATTTAACCACACTGGGTTCTGTTTGCTGATTGTTTGAATGTTGTACATATGTCTCTTCTCATAGGCTCTAAGTTCCTCCAAAGAGAGGCCTGTTCTGTATTTATCTTTGGAGCCTCTGTGGCAACACAGTGTGAGATATTGGAATCCCAGAAGAAACATGGCTGGATCACTCCTCACAGCTGTATCCAGCAGAGGAAACTTCTTTCTGGTTGATCTGTTGACTGAATGGCTTATACAAAATGGGCATGGGCCTGCATTCTACTGAACTTTTGGTTGGAAACTGAAACCCTTTCACACGAAGGATGTTGCCTTAGAAATGGTTGCTTAGCATTTAGGACATTTGTGTTGTGTTAGCATAACTTTGGAAGGAAAAAGCCTCTGTGTCCTGGAGCAGGCTTTATTTTTAAAAATATTTTATTTATTTGTTCATGAGAGACACACAGAGAGAGGCAGAGACATAGGCAGAGGGAGAAGCCGACTCCTCGCAGGGAGCCCGTAGTGGGACTCGATCCCAGAACTCCCGCAGACGCTCAACTGCTGAGCCACTCAGGCGTCCCTGGAGCAGGCTTGAAAGGCACAGACAGGGTTAAGTGCCACAGATGCCTTCAGCTTGTCCTCAATATTTGTCTTTACACGTATGGAAGAGAAAAATGATAAGCCAGCAGGTACCAAAATATACCTTGGCTCTAACTGCCATACATATCACTCTATCAAACATTTTGATATTTAATCAAAATGGATTGACTGGATTAAGTGACGATAATCTTGTTGGTAATGACAGCTACCATTTTCAATTGCTTACAGGGGTCAGGCTTGGTGTTAAGCATTTGCCTTCCATAGACCATTTTTTAGAAAAGATTTATTTATTTATGAGAGATAGAGAGAGAGAGAGAGAGAGGCAGAAACACAGGAGGAGGGAGAAGAAGGTTCTGTGCCGGGAGCCTGACATGGGACTCGATCCTGGGACTCCAGGATCGCACCCTGGGCCAAATGCAGGTGCTAAACTGCTGAGCCACTCAGGGATCCCCTCCATAGACCATTTAAAGCCTACAACTACACTGGGAGGAAGATACAGAGTTAAATAAGCCTGAGAAAAAAATCTAGGTAACTTGCCTGAGGTCATGCAAATATGGTAGAGCCAGGAAGAAAACCAAATTGAGTAGAATGAATCTGGATAAATCAAACTGAAAGTGTTGCACTGCAATGAAGTTTGTAGTCATGCCAATTCTTTAGGCTTTCTTTTTCAGATTCTCATTATTGGGGGGATGCTGTGTAGCTCAGTGGTTGAGCGTCTGCCTTCGGCTGAGGGCATCAACCCAGAGTCCTGGGATCGAGTCCCACATTAGGCTCCCTGCATGGAGCCTGCTTCTCCCTCTGCCTAGGTCTCTGCCTCTCTCTCTCTCTCTCTCTCTGTTTCTCATGGATACATAAATAAAATCTTTAAAAAAATTCTCATTATTGGGGCCTCCATCATAAGTCATTTTTATCATGGGAACTTGTTAGCTTGTTGATATGTATATTCAAAATATGGGAACTTTATTAAGACTATCATAAAGGGAAAACAGTGATGGTTGTTGATTTTTTTTCTTTTGAGTTTTCGAAGTATAAAGCATTTTCTTGCAAATTATGATTTGGTCTAGCTAAAGCTTAGCATATTATATTATTTGCAAAGAAAAGCCTTAGACATGTAATCGATGTTGATATGCTGGATGTGGGTGCTAACAACAATCTAGCCATGTTCCTTAAGAGACATTAATGTGCTGTTGTTAGCATCAAACTCAAACTCTTTTAGGGGAGGTAGGCTTGTCAGTCAGTAGAAGGTGTCTTTTTTTTTTTTTAAAGATTTATTTATTTATGATTTTAGAGAGACAGAGAGTACATGGGGGGAAGCTCAGAGGGAGAGGGAGAGAGAATCTCAAGCAGACTCCCTGCTGAGCATGGAAACCAATACGGGGCTCGATTTCACGACCCTGATATCACTGCCCAAGCCAAAATCAAGAGCCCAATGCTTTACAGACTGAACCACCCAGGTGCCCCAAACGTGTCACTCTTGATCTCAGTGATGTGAATTTGAGCCTGACTATGCGGTTAGAGTTTACTTAAAAACAAAACAAAACACAACACCTTGAACTATTCTGAGCAACAGGCAATCAATAAGACCTTAATAGCTAGACACGAAAGTCAATAGTAAGATCTACAAAATACTGATTTAATTATAACAGGAGCTGTGAGAGAGAAACAAGTGTATCTAAGCTTTTTCAAATTATGTTAGCAGGAGCATTTCTGTTGTAGGCAACTCACCATCATAAGTATAGATGTTGATGTTGCGAGGTTCCGGGTAAAAGCAAGAGCAGATCAGTGACAGCATGGACAGCTCCTTCATTTTTTCCTTGTAGGCTAAAATAAAAGACTGAAAGTTAGTAGCATTCATTTTCTGAATTTCCTCTTAATGCTTTTTTTAGTCTGAATAATAATGATAGACTGCTGCAGAATGAATATTGTCAGGGGCATAGCTTTGCAAAATATAAATAAAACGAAGATTGAAACAGGACCATCAAGTGCATATTCTTTATTACGGAGGCCATGAATTACACATTATAGCCCGTTAGATAAAAAGTGAGAGAAAGGGAGTTAGAGAAAGAAAGGAGTAGAGAAAGTGAGAGAAAGGGAGTAGAGAAAGAAAGGAAGTAGAGAAAGTGAGAGAAAGGGAGTAGAGAAAGAAAGGAAAGCAGGAGGAACTAAGATCCAGCAGGACAGAGAGAGGAGAGAAAAGACACGGAAGAAGCAAAAGCAGACAAAATTAGTAGAGATAGGTCCGTTCGAGTATGTGTGTATGTTGGTCTACTGGGCATAAGTAGGATTCAGGAGGTGTCCCTTGATGCTTGGGCCCAAGTGGCCACATGTTCAGTGGGGGACAGGCAGGGAACCCATCAGGATGGTTCTCAAGCAGATACATCCTCCAAGGACCTATGTTACTGCTTTCTCTTGATCCCAAGTGCACTTTTTGGTTGCAGCTTCTTTCCACACACACAGTAATCATAGATCTGAGATCTGATTAGGCTCTCCTTTCCTCTACAGAACCTGGTTTGGGTGCCCACCTTGCCAAGCAAGCTACAGGAGTTCAGTGAGTGATCTCCTTCCTCCTTCACCGCCCCCCCCATTTCATTTTTCCCTTTCTCTGTCAAGAGGCCTCCTGCCCAGGTAACCTTGGAAGGCATCTCCTCAGTGCTGGTTGTCACCAGGACAAGAGATGACCAGAGGAGGGGGGATAGGGAGGTGGACTCTTCTCACCATTGTTGATCATCAATAAATTAAGAAAAATGGAAGAAAAATGATAGGTTTATTTTGCACTAACTTGTGGAAAAGCATAAACTTGTGATGATGGCCTAACATGTTGAATCTCACAGGTAATATTTACCTCTTGGCAGGGGCTTCTAATCATTACGATTACTCAAAGGAAGGTGAATACACGTTGGGAAGACAGGAATTCCCAGAAGGTTATTTTGGGCATTATTGACAAATCCATCTTTTGTGGGCTAACTGAAAACAGAATCAACACCCAGATGCTTTAGAGCTACAGAATGTTAGATTAAGAGGGTCCTGAAAGATCAGTTAGCTAACTGTCCACCCACCCCACCACCAATTTTGTAAATAAAACTGGCCCCCAGAGGCTGAAGTTGTATGTGGCCTCCAGATAAAAATGCAGTAAATGGATCAATATCAAGATTGCCAAGAGGCCTTTTTCTATCTCTGCTTTCAGGATGAGGTGCAATGTGTCAAGCCTGGACATACTTGATATCACTGAACCACACGCAATGATCAAATATTGCCATATTGTATATGGCTCAATGTGACACATCCAGAGGTCTAAGAGAATTTCTATCCCTGTTTAGCTTATTTCCTTTAAAATAAGCAACACAATTTGACTTTTGCCATAACAGTCTTGCTGACACCTACTTTGAGAGATTATATTGAGGGCCTTTGGAATTTTAGAAGGCTGAAATTTTATTTCTTTCTCTTATTTATCTATTTAGTTAACAAAACCATGTCACTTGTATATAAAGGTCCAGGCAGGTCTTTACATGGATGCTCAGTGTGAATCACAGTTTCTGATAGATAGAAGCATTTGGTGGTTTAACACATTTAATTCCATGAAGAATAAAACCTAAAACAGCAAGTTTTTGTAGGCTGGTGCTTTTTTTTTTTAATAAGAGAAAGCAATATGATATCCAAAATATTTTGCAAAATTAAGCACATATTAGGAGCACATGTTAAAGATACCAACTTTATTAGACAGGACAAAGCCAAAAATAAAAATAAAATAAGATTTTTCTATCTCATAGATCAGTAACAGATTACAGCTGCAGGAAAACATGAATTTCTACTGAAAATAATACTCCCCAACATTTGTCTTCAGTTTCTTAGAAACGAAATTCAATAATTTTTAGTAAGGCCACTGCTCTGTCATGCTTGATAAGTTAATGAAGGCAGGAGATACAAAGGTTGTCACGGACCAACACTGTAGAGCCCTATGTGTAATGTTTAATGTATAACCAAGATTGACAAGTTTGCTCTTTCCTCTCCTGGGTGGTTTGGGGACAAAACTCAATTGACCTCAGTGAGTGATTACTTAAGAGAATCCCTACATTGTTTTGATAAAGGGCCACGACTCTCCATGGCATGAACCTACCCACAGCCACTGCATTAATTCTCACTTACATAGTTGCTCTGAATCCTAGGAAGCTCCTTAAAACCACTTGGCAATCACAGCTCAAGCAAATCTTGACTCCCTGCAACAAAGTCATGCTCTCCAGTGAAAGGTTTCCTCTTCACTCGGTACAGTTGCCCAAACTTTTCTCAGGAGGCACTGCCTTTCCTAAGCCTCTCCTCTCATGGAGATTCTTGCCAAAATTTCAATCCCAATTCAGATCCTTCCTCCTCAGTGTTTCCCTCTCTTGGGGGGTGCTCCCCACATTGATCTCTTATTGCCCTTAGTTGGCTGTACTATAAAATCTTGATTATATACTCTTAAATGTGATTCTATACTGTCTAGGGTCAGTCACTACTGGGTTTTGATGTGTAGTTTTTGTTTACAAAACTATAGGCTCTTTGGAGGCAAATGCTACATCTTATTTATCTATGAAAAAGTTCACAGGGCAGGTCTGGATGGAACAGAAGGCTATTGCTTAATAAATAATTGTTGGCTATCTTGCTCACTGATTTTAAGTCACTCTCTCAATTAACAAATATTTATGATCACAACTTATGGGCAGGCGTTCCGTGAGGCAATATGGAGTTACGAAGAGATATAATAGTATCCTCATTCTCAAGAAGCTTTCAAATATGGGAAGTGAAGTAGATGGATATAAAAACATGGAATATATGGATAGAAACAAATGTGAAATAGGGTGTTGGATGGAGGTGCAGGTGACTTGTATTAGAAATTGAGAAGAACCTCAAAGCCCTTGGTGTATGGGAAGAGTGGTTAGGAATGGCTTAACGGTTAGGGTTGCTAGATTGGACAAGTAAAAATACAGGATGCCTAGTTAAGTTTTAATTGCATGGGACATACTAAAAATAATTCCTTGCTTTTCTGAAATTCAAATTTAACTGGGTGACTTGTATTTTATACAGCAACCAGAGTAAATGGATCTGGATGGTAAAGACTGAATAGTGTTAAGGAAAGCAAGGAAGGGAGAAGGTATGTTTATTCTTGTTGGCATGGAAATGGGGTTCTGAAGAAGCTATCTGGAAGGTTTTTATGGGTGGACGGTGAGTTGAGTTCATGCAAGATATGATCACTAAACTCTAGGGAGCATCATTCACTTCATGGTCTTTAAGAATGCGACTGTCTATCTAAGAATATCATGTGTCTATGTGATATTTCATGGGTTGCACTACAAGAGGTTTTTAGGAGTTGTGTCCTGATAGAAAGACTTCTTGGGGATCAATTTTGCTCTAAGACATTTGGTAAGATGTTTTGAATTTTTGTTCATGTGAAAAAGTTATGACTTAAGTAAGATATTGTGTTTACCTTAAGAAAACCATAGGCATATTTTTTACCAGAATGTCAGGATATCATAAATTTTCAACATGTTACTTAAAAGAAATATTAGCTTGAGTGTTTGGTTTTGAATCCACATTCAGGTATGTTTTTGTGGAAAGTCTGAGAGGCACAGAGGTGAGAATGAGTTAGCTGAAAGTCCTGGTTTGCTTGCACAGTTCTGGAAGCCCATTAACAATATCGTTTTTCACTGTCAGAATTTGGCCACTACAATGATCTCTGCAATAGGGAGCCATTGAACATTTTGAAAGGGGGGTTACCTGGTGAAAGCCTCTTCTTAGAAAGATTTATCTAGCCATTTGGTTGTGCAGGAGATACACTTAAGACACAACCGACTGAAATACAGCAAATAATGTGGTATGACTTAAGAAAAGAGTAAGGAATGGTGAAAGGAAAAGAAAGGGAAGAAATGAGACTTAACAAAAGAAGAATGGATAACTGTAAACAATAACTGTATTTAGAGTCAAGGGCAGAGGGAAGAGAGCAAGAAATCGTAGATGGGCGGCCAAGAAAGCTTTCCAGACAGTGTCACTAAAGCTTGAGTACCATAGGATAGGTTGGCCTAGCAGAAAATAGGGTGTGGGTTGAAATATATGGAATTTGGATAAACTTTTTAAAAAATCAACAATGAAAAATCCAAGCAAATGTGAAGACTATTAGAAATGTGCTAATAAGATTTTACTATTGATATTTCATATTTTGAATTCACAATCCCTTTTATTGGTTTTTGGAACTCGGCATATACTCATTTTTTCATTATGCTCCAATACCAAGTAGAGTTCTGTGCATGTTTTTAAGGATTTGAGAAGTAACAAGTAATTCCGTATAATCTTTCCCATAGTTGATTGCATTTGCTATTAACTATTAATGTTTGCAAGTTAGTGATTTCTCTAGTGAATTCATTTAAAATTCAACCCATATGATGTATGGGTATAATGTATGCCCATAATGATGTAAAATGATTCTAGAGCAATATCCATTTAACCTAATGATGTATGAACACCCATTGTTTTTCCATTCTTCCAAAGGGCTACCATGAACTATGAATAATGGTAGCTAGTTGCTCTTTGGGTTTGGAGCACAAACGATGTATCAGGCACCGTGGTAGGATATTTGTATGCATTTTCTCATTTAATCTTCTCAATCGTGCTATGAGAAAGATAAAATTAGACTAGATTTACAGATGAAAGAAAGAGATGCAGAGAAGTGGAGTAGTTTGCCTGATATCCAATAGATCATAAAGTGTGGGGTTCAGTTGGAATATAGCCTCTGTGCCTTGCTCTTAATGCCATTCTCTTCCTCCAACAATCTGTTCAGATGCATCATACACACC